CTATTATATAACACTGCTCTGGCCACTCCTGACACGAGTGTAAAGGAGCCGGTATGATGGTATTTGAGATTTTGTTGAGGTCACGCAGCCGGCGTCCCCGCAGTGAAACAAGACAAATACCATGAAAGAACCAATTGTAAAGGTCTCCAGTATTACTGTGCAGCTTCTTTTCCCCCCACAAGGAAAATTTCTCCTTTATCTTCTTTGTGATGGGATATACACCAAACGTTGCACATTGTTAGCAATAACTCAGCATATTACAAAGGGGTGACCAAGAAGACAGAACCCATGTTTAAAATAAAGTAATGGTATTCCAGTAGGAATGTAATGACTCTGAGGAATATGAGTGTTAAAGAATGATAATCTGCCCAACTGCTGGTGTGATGTTTCTGTTATTTAAATATTTGTGCCAGTGAAACAAAGAATTCTTCTTCATTTCTAAAACAAATCTGACCAGTTTAACATTTATTCCAATCAGTGAACAGCACAGAAATATCAGCTCCCCAAACAAACTGCTGGGCTTTATCATTCTTGACCTGAAACAACTGCTCCCATAAACCCACCAGAGAAGTGTTTACTGAGGTCAAACGGACAAGAAGCCAAGGTCCAGTTTGCCGTAGATCTTTACAACTGGACTTTTTCCTCTACTAGAGCGAAGAAGTTGCCGCCGCCAAGCCACGAGAAAGAATGCAGGCTAAGGTAATTCTGCACTGGGTCCAACCTTTAAACCTACAGACCACGTCCATCTTTTATATTTGTGTGGGGAGATTTTGCAATCTTCAAATTAAAGAATTATATTTGTTCTACATGTTTTAAAAGAAATGTAACTTACTTTGTCTGAATTGGCCATTTTCTCCATCCACTCCTGCAGGAGGAGGATAGAAAGTGTTCAGAACAAATCAGACCTCTGTAATAAGTGAGACCGAACGCATCTTTACCTGATCTTTTTTCTCCAACGCTAAAGCCATCCCCTCTGCCATTTTGGCTCTGCTGACCTGATGAGAGTCATTCTGTTCCTGAAGTTTCTTTATGGATGCTGAGCAGTGAGAGAGGGAGAAAGAGACAGACAGACAGGACACAGAAAGGTTTGTATGCACCAAGCAGAACAGAAGTGTTAAACAGCACAGAGAGCGGCGCCGTTAGTAGCTGTGAAAAGTTGGAGTCAGTTTAACAAGTGTGTTCATCCCAGAAGCAAAAACAGGCAGAGACGAGCAACACATGGCAGAAACAGAAAGGTAGTAAAGATCCTAACACCACATCTGTGCAGAACAAAACAAACCCACCCTGAAGAAATGACGTCGTCTAGACCAGCGGTCTCCAACCTTTTTTG